CCTTCCTTTCCCTTCTTCCTGATCTTCTTTAGGGTTTTCAGTTTTTATTGCTCACCAGTGGGTGTCTTAACATGATCGTACAGGCGGAGCCATTTTCCTCCTGTCAAGGAGCCCTAGTGGTTCAGTGGTTAAGCACTTGGCTGCTAACCGAAAGATTGGTGGTTCGAACTCACCAGTGGCTCTGTGGGAGAAAGTCCTGGTGATCTGCTCCTATGAAGATTACAGGCTGGAAAACCCTATGGGGTAGTTCTACTCTGTCACACGGTTCACTATGAGTCGAAATTAACTTGACAGCACGTAATAATGTCTAAGAGTAAAACTATGATAGTGCATATCACTCTTATAGTCCCCAGTGTTATTTTATTTTATTTTTTTGCAAAATATCGATAGATAATTTATAAATCAAGACTTCTGATAATTTCTGACTTCAGCTTTTGACCACAGAAATCGAGGGTCTGCTATCGCAAGTGCTTTATTTCCTGGAACTCTTAACCTAATGTAACTAGAAATGTGTCTTCCTTACTTTATCAATTTCATTTAGTTCTTAATAATGTTTAAATAATGTTCAGGCATATTTTGACTTAGAATTTATGCCGTTGCTTAACATAAAAGCCAATTATTTTTACTGGTCAGGTTATAAATACACATATAGGTCTCAGAATCCTTACTAGATAATCTTACCAAATCTATAGTTACAGGTAGTCCCTGACATGATGGGATTCTGTTCCAACGACTATGTTGTAAGTTGGTTTTGACATAAGCCAAATCTCTCTCTCTCTCTTTCTTTTTTTTCATAGCCTGTTATATGGCAGTGTTTTGAACAGTAAGTCATAACATTGAATATCTGCAAGTGAACATCTGAGAATGATAACATCAACCAATTATGTGCTGCAGCATAGTATGTAGTACATATTACTAACAATAAGATGTGCGGTTTGTGGTAACTCAAGTAGGTTGTAAGTTGGGGACTACCTGTACATCATGAAAATATTCATAGAGCTCTAACAGCCAGGAAAAAAATCCCTCTCTCTAGATAAAGTCTTTCTGGATAATCACCGAAAACTAAAGGAGTATAAAAACTTTAAATTCCTAAAATTTCCAACAGTGTTGATGCAAGTATCATTTCTATGTCTATCTTTGCATTGTTTTAATTTAGAAAT